TCTCTCTCTCTCTCTCTCTCTCTCTCTCTCTCTCTCTCTCCCCTACAGCAACCAGCTTGGCTCTGAGGAGCAAACTTGATTATGGCTATTGAGGAAGAGCTGGCTTCCAGCCAATACTCTGTCCAACCCTGGTCTTTGAATTGGATCATTACTTTGCTAGTCTATTTCAGTTCTCAGAACTGTAGACTAACAGGAAAAACTAAGTATTTCTATTCTCTTATTCAGGTCTGATACTCTGAAAAATTAGCTTTTCTAAAGTTTATTGAATTAAATGGAAGAATGTTAGAGGACATCCCAAAGCTTTTCTTTAGTATACGTAATTGTATGATTTTTCAAGTGTTTCTATTTCTTCCATGTTTTCCCCTCAAGGTAGTAAGTAATCTCATTCTAAAATAGGACATCCTGATTTTTTTTTTTGGTATCTTATAAGGAATGAATTAAGATTTATCTTTATTACTTGGTATCCGTGTTAAAAAAACTAAGAGATTTTATTTGGCATGGTATAGCAGAAATAAATGTTATTAAGAAAAGAACTTCTGGTACAATTTTCTCTTTCTAGTTAAGTAATCTGGAAAGTTCACTGAGATAAAAAATGAGTATTCATTTGTTTATTCACACTGAGTGGTAAAATCTGAAAACTAAACTGTTGACACAATAGAAACGGAAATGGTTAAGAAGAGTAGTTCCACACTAAGAACATTAATAGACAAAGAGAAATGAGAGACCAATTAGAAGAGAAAAAGACCTGAAATCAAAGTAATTGGTGTCTAGTAGCCAGGATTTTTACTAATGTTTAATTTGATTCTGTTTTAATTAAACCACCCATTCTAGTGTCTCCTGAGACAACAAAGTTATAGAAAAATTAAAACATGTAGAAAAAGGAAAGCAAAGCAAGTTCTAAGACTCAGGGGCGATGGCACTCTTTAAAAGAACTTCTGGTACTGATCTAAAGTTCTCATTTCTCACTGAAGGGAATGATGAGAAGAAACTTGACCTCAGTGACTGAGTTCATTGTCCTGGGACTCACCAGCTGCTTGGAATTGCAGATTCTCTTCTTCGTGCTGTTTCTGGCCGTTTACGTGGTCACAGTGGCAGGGAACTTGGGCATGATTGTACTGATCCGGGTCAATGTCCGGCTTCACACGCCCATGTACTTCTTCCTGAGTCACTTATCCCTGGTGGATCTGTGCTTCTCTTCCAATGTGACGCCAAAGATGCTGGAAATTTTTCTTTCGGAAAAGAAAACCATTTCCTATCCTGCTTGTCTGGTACAATGCTACTTTTTTATTGCCTTGGTTCACGTTGAGATCTATATCCTGGCTGTGATGGCCTTTGATCGGTACATGGCCATCTGCAACCCTCTGCTTTATGGCAGCAAAATGTCCAAGAATGTGTGCCTGGCCCTAGTCCTGGTGCCTTATGTGTACGGAGCACTCACAGGCCTGATGGAGACCATGTGGACCTACCAGCTGTCCTTCTGTGGCCCCAATGAAATCGATCACTTCTACTGTGCTGACCCCCCACTGATTAAGCTGGCCTGTTCAGACACCTACAACAAAGAAACATCAATGTGTGTTGTGGCTGGGTGCAATCTTTCCTTTTCTCTGCTCATCATTATTTTTTCCTACCTTTATATTTTTCCTGCTATCCTGAGAATTGGCTCCACAGAAGGCAAGCACAAAGCTTTCTCCACCTGTGGTTCCCATCTGACAGCTGTCATCATATTCTATGCAACACTTTTTTTCATGTACCTCAGACCCCCTTCCAAGGAGTCTGTGGAACAGGGAAAAATGGTGGCTGTGTTTTACACCACGATAATCCCCATGTTGAATCCCATGATTTACAGCCTTAGAAATAAAGAGGTGAAAGAAGCATTAGCCAAAGAGATGTCAAAGAGAAAAAACATTTTCCTAAAGAAAAATTCACATTTATTTTTTTCTCAAGGATTTTTTTAGATTTTTGTTTTCTTAAGTCACAGGACAGAATTGATGGCAAAGTTTGATTGCAAAAATCATATGTATAATTGTGTGAATATACCCACACACATATACATATATGGTACATGAATGGAGAACACTGCAGTGTTTCAAACTTCAATTCTTTTCTAAAATAAAAACACATGGAATAAAGTTTGATTACATACTTTACCTACTTGTAATTGCCGTTCATCTTGCACCAGTTATTTCATGTTCTTTGCCTTTGAGCACAGGACAGCTTTGTGACTCTAGCCCCACGGATTAACTAGGATCATGTGACTATTTCTGGAAAATTATTTAGATTAGAATTCACGTATCACATCTCACTTGAGTGTGTGTTTGTGAGCACACTCTACAGATGGTCTTTTCTTCTGCTCCATGGTGAGCTGAAAAATTTAATACAGTGGCTCAGCAGTCAGAAGACATGAACAAATTCTCAGTCAGCTCATAATGGAAATGTAGAATGCTGGTGGTTAACACCAGCACAGAATATCCTACTTTGCTGCATGCAATATTACTTAGATAAAATTGTAGCACATTGAAGTGTATACCATGAAAATTTAGAGATCTAAAAAAATTACATTTAAGATATGTTTTGCTTTCTTTTCGCATGTTTTTGTGATTTTACATAAATGTGTGTGTTTAGTTCAAATTACATATTTTTTAAAATAAGTAGTAAATAGTCATGTGTATAGTTATAAATATCAAATCATATTACATGGCTTATCAAAATTTCTGTTTCATTTATATCCTATTCTTTATTCCATATACATAACAGTTTTTTGTCATTTCCTTTGGGAATTAGCCCACCTTTTTGTTATGTATTTTTTTTTCTTGAAACCAGAGTTTGAATCCAGGGGTGCTGAACTTCTAAGAACATTTTCAGCCTTTTTTTCCCCTTTTTTTAAAGACAGGTTCTCACTACATTGCTTAGAGCCTTGCTAAATTGCTGAGGCTAGCTTTGAAGTTGCAATCATCCTGCTTCAGCCTCCTGAGCTGCTGGGATTACAGGTGTGCACCAGTGAACCCAGCTGATTTGTTGGCATTTTAAAAAATAATGGTGAAGTGTTAGCATTTTTGCAATAATCCTGTATTCCTTCCTCATATCCACCACTTCTGTTTCTTTATCTTTATGATAGAGTCATATTGGAATTTTAGTTTAAGTCAGTATTTATTGCTAAAATTACTATGTATATGTCATTAGTAATATCTGAAAAATAATTCAGGTAATACTATAAATATGAGCATCATTAATACTAGAGCTTGTCATTCATATTATGAATACTACTCTGATTGTCATTCTCTTCCTGCACAACTTGATTTTTATAGAGTTAAAAATTGTGTCTCATTTTGCTTTTCCTTTGGTACCTTACCCCTAAATTCTAATAAACTATGATGCTCTCCCTGTAAATTCAAATGAAATGGGTACTCTATATAATTTCCACACTTCTCCACAGAAGTTCTCTTTGTTCCTGTGAATATTCTGCTGTTTGCAGAGCTGTTAATAAGGAGATAGTTTTTCCTATTATAGGTTTTTCAATCATTTGATCCATGTGGATTATAGGGAAATTTCATGCAAATTGGAAATCAGGAATAAACAAGACACACATAAAAATACATTTATTACATTTTACAATATGGAAGCCAATCAGATACCTAAATAAATCAACAATAAAGCATTTCCAGCAGGACGCTCACTCCAGTGCAAGCAAGTTACTTTCTATGAATCTTACCTTCCCCCCATTTTATTCACCATCATAGTATGTGGGATTCCAGTGCGAACTCAAGAAAATTACAAAATTCCCTGAGGATATTGGCAAATGATCAAGATGGCTAATGTTATTTCAGTGAAAAGTAACTGTTCACCTTAATTTTCTTACTTAGCTTCTCCACTGGTTGGTGTTATCCTTTAAAGAGTCCTAGCAACAAAGGCCAAACACAACCATAATCTGTGCAGAGGAGAGGAGTTGTTTTCATGGACTATTATCATAACAGGGTGCTTCTTAAATGCAAAACAATTTGGTGCAAAGAAGTTCACACCCAAGAATGAAGAAAGAGTTATAATTAGTTTACTTGTCTAATCTGAGCATCACATTATACAAATTTCTAAAGATTATATGTAGAAGTCTCACTTTGGGGAGGTCTTAGGTTAAATTCTTCCAAGGGTAAGAGAAGCAGAAGGTGGCAGAGGGGTTGTGTTAGCTATTCTAAGTACCAAGTCTGATGTTTCTCCCTTGTCTAGCCCTGTCTTATAAAAGTTTATGGAATGGATAAAGGCAACAGTCTATATGTGATAATGATCACCATTTTGTTATACTGATACAAATCAATAGTAGGTTCCATTAATTTAATAAGTAAGTCTTTGGGTTGAAAACAATTTTGCAAGAAGAGGCACAATTTACCAATATGTTATTGTTATGGAAAACTGCAATATAAATTTCATTTTCAATATAAGGATTCTACACTGAAGTCTTTAGTACCACATTTGCAAAGGACTGTCATTGTCAATAAATTTTTAAATTATACTTCTTAAGCATGTCAACTTTTCTAAATGAGTAAAATCTGGAAACATGATAAAAATAGCTATTTTCATGCCAATTTGCAAAAATAGCTATATCTTTTATCAGTAACATTTACTTACTGGAGAATTAATTTTCTATAGAGTTTTAAAAAGAACAAAACTATTGAAGGAAATCAAACTATTTATCATTAAAATATTTATCATTGTTGTGTTAAAGACATTGAAAATGCAGAAGGGTTTCTCAGTTTTTCTCATTTGCCCAAATGACAGAATAGAGATTTCACACAAATGAAATGCCTTTATTACCAGATCTTCACTAACTGGACATAGTTGCTTATCTGTTCCAAGATTGTACCTGAAGATAGGACAGAAGAATCTGTGACTATATTTTCTCTTCCTTTTAACTTCCTGCCTTTTAGAATCCTATGATTATTCTCCTTTATTTGTGCTAAGATTTATGGCAGAGTTAGTCAGATTTCTGTTACTGTAACAAACACCTGAGATCAACTTATAAAGTAAAAAGTTTTCTTTCTGAGAGTTTTAGAGGTTCCAGTCCATGCTTGGGGTTGCATTTAGGCCTGCCCAGCACATTATGGCAGAGTGTGTGATGGAAACAAATAGTTTCCCTCATGGAAGAAAAATGAAAGGAAGAAAGAGAAAGAGACAGGGGTCCCAATATCCATTTCAAGATCATTCCCTGGAGGACTGGAATCTCCCTCACCAGGCTCATTCTCTTAAAATTCCCACCAACTTCAAATTGTACCATGGACAAGGGACCAAGTCAAGGACTTTTAGGGGATATTTTCCCAAACCATAGGAAAAGCTTTTGTTCAGATACTATTTAAACAAGACCCCCTAAGCTACTGTTTTTGAATGAGTTATTTTCTAGCTTGTTTTCTCTGGCCGTGAAAGTCTGTTCCACTATGAACTCATGGGGTGGAGGTAATATTGTTCTTCTATTCAGTATCAATGTTAATTTAGGAATTAAGATGGGTTTTAAAGAAGTATATTAATCATTTTGGACAAGTAGATGCCCATTAAGGGTTCATCACTGACATGAGTATGGGAAATGTATCCTCTGTTAGTCTCTCATTTTTAACTAGATCTTTCATACTGAAAAAAGAAAAAAATAATTTCTTCACCAATACAACCAATGTTTTTGTGTTTTCCTATTGTAAGCTAGAGGTTATTTTAAATATATGTTGTGTCAGACATTTATCAAGGTGATAAGCAACTTAGTGAGACCCTCTGTCTCAAAACAAATCAAATAAATAAATAAATAAAAAGGACTACACATGTAGCTCAAGGGTAAGGCATCTTGGGTTCAATCTCCAGCACCCACCTAGCCAAAAGAAAAAGTAATGTATCCAATACTGATATTATTATTATATGGGAAAGCAAGATGCTCCCCAAATAAATGCTTCACAATTTTCCAAGATTCAGAGAAACCATTTTTAAAATAGGGAGAAAGCAAAATCTCAAGTTTTTATAGACCTTATCTTTTAAAAATCTAGTTCTGCTGAGAGTTATTTTGCTCTTGAGATTAATTTTCATTAATGATGATGCAATATGTTGCATTTAATTGCCATCTTGAGTTTCTGTCAATATTCTCCAGTGAGAAAGCCCCACAGTGGGAAACTCAATCTTTATAAACTCTTCTGAATTCTCTGCTAATGCTGGGAGATAGGATGTTTCCAAGAACATTTCTTCTTCACACACAGGTGGGTTCATAGTCAAGGAGGGTCTCTGTGTTTTTATAATGTCAGCAACAAATCTCTCTGCTGTCCTTGTATTTCAGAATTGAAAGAGAATACTCTTGGATGGTTTTAGGAAGTGAGATTGGAGAGATTTTGCTAGGATAGTCAGTGGAAGTCTGCTGTGAATGGGTTTGATGCCCCAGTTTAAGAAGTGCAACTCATCTTGACAGAATGGACAGCATCTTACCTAAATGAAGAAGAGGTATCTATTTCTTACAGTGTCACTCAGTGGTGACCACAAGTTGTATTTCTGTTTCTCTACTAAAGACATTTTCTTGTTACTAAAAGGTAGAGAGAAAACAAAGAGAAAGGGAAAGGTGGATTTATCAAAATAGGAAAAAAGGTAGATAGACTACATGAAGGGAACTCAGGAGGAGAGAGAAGGAAAGAATCATGGAATAAATCTGACCTAACTTTTCTATGTGGGGATATGAACATATCACAGCGAATCTCATCATCATGTATGTTGACGAAGAAATAACCCACTAAAAAGTTTTAAAGGTAAATAGCAGAAAGATTGGTAGAGCACAATGAAGGGAACAAGGAGGAGAGAAGAAGAGAGGAAAAGGGTAATACTAGGGACTGAGTCAGAATAAATTATATTCCAAGCCTTAATAATTCATTTTGAATCCTTATGTTATAAATAACTAAAAAGAACCAAAAAAAAAAAAATAAGAATAGTAGTGGAGAAACTGGTGGAACAGGTGTTCAAGTACATTCATCATTATAAACCAAAAAAGGAAGCGAATATGAATGATAAAATATTGATTAAAAAACAACAAAAATGTTGTTTTAAATGTTCCTGTCTCTGTCTCATACATAGAGAGTCAATGAATTAACCTGTTATGCATTTAGGGACACAGACATAGTACCAGAAATATGTTTTCAACGCCTGTTATTCATGAAGAAGCCTTCTTGTCCAAAAGATGTTAATAAATAATCCCATGCTGGTAGAGATGACCAGATTCTTTCTCTCTTCTATATCTTAGATGGTTGTGGATTAATAGGGAGCCCTATGAAAAAACAAGATAGGTCTGCATTTCACTTTGTATAGTTATCTGCTGTGTTACAAACGTTTATAAGAACTGGCAATTATAATAATGAACTCTGACCCTTTGCTGAGTGAACACCTCTCTGAGTTTGTCTAGCACCATTGGTTTTTCCAAGATGCAAAACTTTCATTTTTAAGCATGGAAATTCTGGATAATCTAGATGGTAGTTCTTTAGCCTCCATATATCCTACCAAAGACTGAGCTATAGAGGATATAAGTGGATTTCATTAGGGTATAAAAAGTTTGTGCTTCTTCTATTTTCCTATGTAATTTACCATTAAACAGATACTAAAATTTGAGATCTTCTTGGAGCTGAAGACATCTCATCTGGCCTGACTTACTGATACACTCAGCATTTAAGTGCTTGAAACAAATATGATTTTTTTTTTTTTTTTTACAAATTCTGCACAACTATATTCACCTTAAGTGAAAAAGGAGTAGGTAAAAATGTCCCTACAAATATATAAGGTTTACTAATCATTAAATAAATAAATGAAGCTGTAAAAAATGCTCCTGTGGAGTGCATGAAGAGAATAGACTGAGGACATACACAGGATTCTCACATAAATGTGCAGTAATTATCTTAAAGCAGGTAAAGAGAACGATGTGGCTCCCTCTGCAGTATAAAGGCTGTGTTAGAGATTAACCCCTCAGTTTCTCTTACAAGATCACAGTTAAAGGAATAACATCTCTTTGTCCTTGGCATTGTCATAGTTGCATGATTCAACTTACCTTTTAATTGTTAGAAATAGGGAGATTGAACCTCATCTGATAAAGATTGTTAGAAGAGTCAATACTAGAATATACAATTCATGATTTTCATTAGTGTGTCCTTTCCTGTCAAATTATCTTAGTCAATCCTCAAAATAACACATAAAGGTATACTCTAATTATCTCCATCTACTCATGAAGACATTGCATCAAAGGATATAAATTAACCAGCCCAAGGTCACAAATCTACCAAAGAGCACAGCTTGGAATTGAACAAAGATTTTTAATAATTTTACAGTTAACAAAATATTCCGTGTTTGTTCCTAATGTAACATAAACCTTAATGTAACAAATGAGACATGCAAGTTGTTAATCTTGTTGTCTCTTTCTCAGCTCGTGTGCATCACCAGAGAGCAGTTGGGAAATGATGATATTTTTTCCAATTTGTACTTTCGTGGCAAATACATGGTAGTTTTATGAAGAACTATCAATTCCTTGGTCCATTAATAAATGGAACATAGAAAACTATTGCTAGTAAAATTAGCTCAAAACATTTATACTGTTTGGGATAAGCTAGAAGATGCCAAGAATCCAGAGGGCTAGCCATCTTAATTGGATAGTCCAAAAACAAAAACAAATTTCTTCCTTCCCCTTCAAAATATTTTTCTTGTCTTTCTGGTACATTTTGGGAGATTTATAAATTTAAGCTTAACTTTTTATAGATACATAATATGGACCTTCACTCAGTCTTTTATTCTTTTTTTTTAATATTTATTTTTTAGGTGTAGATGAACACAACACAATGTCTTTATTTATTTATTTTTATTTGGTGCTGAGGATGGAACTCAGGTCCCGCCCTTGCTAGGCGAGCACTCTACCGCTGAGCCACAATCCCAGCCCTTTTATTATTCTTTTGTTACTCAAAATTCTAACTGAGAGAAAGAAAGTGAGAGGTTGCCTAGGTTTTGTTAATTATTCCCAGTGAAAGATAGATAAATTCTAAAGAAGAGGTGATGCTTGTGTGCATTATTATCAGAATTCTTTGCAACACAGACACGGATGGCAAGCCTTCAGTTTTCTTGTTGTTGTTTGTCTTGTTTTTGTTTTTACAGTGGTAAGAATTGAACCCAGGACTTCTTACGTTCCAGACAGTTGCTCAACTACTGAGCTGCAACCCCTGGATCCACTTATATTTTCAGGTTGATCTAAAAAAAATTAAATGAATTTTTTTAAAAGAATCTAACCTTTATTTTATTTATTAGTTTGTTGTTGTTTTTTGTATGTAGTGCTGAGGATCAAACTCAGGGCCTCACCTGTCCTAGGCAAGTGCTCTACCACTGAGCTATAACCCCAGCCCCTAAATGAAATTTTAAAGAGATTTTTTTTTCTGATAAAAATAATGAGTTTATGTTAAGACATTTAGACAGGTTTATTAAGTCATTTATGTAATCAGCATCTCAAATTTGCAAGATGACTGAATGGAGGTACCATTTAACATTCTAATTAAGTAATAGTATTTCTGTGCTGTGGTTTTGAATAAATTTCTAATGCACAGCAGACCTTTTGCACTGTATAAATCTAGTAAATGAACACTAACATATACACATCTAAAAATCAGGTGCAGTAATAAAATGTTGGTTTTTCAGATAGGAAGAACAAAGAATTTTCCTTCTGAAATATTTGTTTCTAGACAGTTAAATGAGGCACAATGAGTTATCTTATTTTACTACATTCTCTGTAAAAAAGAACTCTTATATGGATGTGTAACAAATACATACTAGTGAAAAATATGTGAGAAAGAACGAAAGGATTAAGAAAAAGAAAAAGAGCAAGACATTGGAAACAAATGGGATAGGAAAGATAATATTAATAAAGACCATTATATTTCATCTGTGCATTTACTTATTTTTCTTTATTTAATAGATAAAATGCAACTCTTTCTGGATCAGATTTAAGGAAATGCTCAACTTTACTGATGTAACAGAATTTATCCTTTTAGGATTAACTAGTCGTCCTGAATTACAATTCCTTTTCTTTGTGGTTTTCCTGTTGGTCTACATTATCACCTTGATTGGCAACATTGGCATGATCATATTAATCAGGATCAGTCCTCAGCTCAACAGTCCCATGTACTTTTTCCTCAGTCACCTATCTTTTGCAGATGTGTGGTTCTCTTCTAATGTCACTCCTAAAATGCTGGAAAATTTAGTATCTGAGACAAAAACTATTTCCTATGCTGGCTGTATAGTGCAGTGCTTCTTCTTCATTGCTTTTGTCCATGTGGAAGTCTTCATTCTGGCTGTGATGGCCTTCGATAGGTACATGGCAATTGGCAACCCCCTCCTGTATGGCAGCAGGATGTCAAGAACCATCTGTATCCGGCTGATCTCTTTCCCTTATGTGTATGGCTTCTTCATCAGTCTGATCTCAACGCTGTGGACCCATGGTCTGTACTTCTGTGGAAACATTGAGATCAACCACTTCTACTGTGCAGATCCTGCTCTCATCAAAATGGCCTGCACAGGGACCTTCATTAAAGAATACACCATGCGCACATTAGCAGGTCTCAATTTTTCTTACTCTTTACTGGTCATTATTGTCTCTTACATTTTTATCCTTATTGCTATCCTGAGAATGCATTCTGCTGAAGGAAGGAAGAAAGCCTTCTCCACCTGTGGATCACATTTGACAGCAGTCACCATATTTTATGGAACTCTCTTCTTCATGTATCTCAGAAGCCCAACAGAGGAGTCTGTGGAGCAGGGAAAGATGGTGGCTGTTTTCTACACCACAGTAATTCCTATGTTGAATCCTATGATCTACAGTCTCAGGAACAAGGATGTGAAGGAGGCCATGAACAAGGCCATCAGTAGAGCATTTTTAACTAAATAAAATGCAGGATAGTTCATTTTAACAGGTAGAGATTAATTATTTCTTTCAGAAATTTTTGATGAATTGGTCATTTATCTTTTCAATAACTAAAATAAATATAAATGAAAAGAAAATGATGGTTCAGAGGTGAGGAAAGCAGTTGTAAACAGGACTCTCTCTGTCATGAAATCAGTAATGGTGAAAACATCCTCTCTAGATATTCCCTTCCACACAATATCAAATTCAGTAGGTTCATTTTTTAATTCAGGACATTGATTTTTATTATTATTCTTAGACATTCACCAACCTACCGTTTCAATTCTTCTGTAGTAAATATAACAGGTCTTTAGGGTCTTTCTTGCACCAAGAAGGGGACTTTGTTCAGGATTTCGTGTCTCAGTTACACGAGTATGGTGTCATCCCAAGACATTGCTACCTTTGGAGACAATGTTCTTGATGATGGAATATCTGGTGTAGAATAACGAGCATTGATTAACATTAATTGGCTGGATGCTATGTGTGATTTCACTTTCAATGCATATTAATTCATTAAATAAAATTATTCATACATTACTCACTTAATATCCTCCCATATCTATTTAAGACACCATTTAAGTCTCCCTTTTTTAAATGACTGCCATTTAAATGACACTACCTCATTTGTGTTTTGGAATTTGCAGTGAACTTCCCTAACTAGATTTCAGCAAATTGCTTGTATAATATTTTGAAGTTATAGTAATACTTTTTTTGTTGTTTTTTATGTTTTTTGTTTGGTGTTTTGGGTTTGTTGGTAGCAGAAAGAAACTGTTCCATTAAATTTTGTAGTGCCTTCACTTGTACCATTTAACAAATCATAGTTTACATATAAAAATATATCCTATCCTTTGCCATTTTACCATATTATTGTCTCAGTTTCAAAAATATTTTATTTGGAAAACACCGAATTTTTTTTTTTTAGCATAAACAGCTGAATTTGATTCTGAAATGTCCTCTGTCTATGACCTTTCTGGTTAGTATGCATGTACTATTCATCTTTTGTAACCAAGGAATTTATAAGGATGTATAGAAGTGGGATTTTCACAAAGAAATAAAAGTTGTGTACTTACAAATATGCACAGATGCATATATAAATGTGCATATATAAATGTACCTTCATATCTTTGTGTGTGTGTGTGTGTGTGTGTGTGTTTGGGTGCACACTGTGTGGTCTCTATTTTCTTTTCATATTAGTCAATTTGATCAGAATTTTGTACAAATTCCACTTTAAGGATTTTCTTTGGTACCAAATTAGTGATTTCATAAAAAGTAACATTTCTTTTGTTCTATAATACTTATTATTTTAGTGTATGTTTTATGATACCTAGTATACCATCTTGTTCTCATATTATGCTTATCACATTTATAACTCCAAACTGCCTTCATCACCAACAGTTCATTCTCCATTTAGCAAATAGAGAAATCTGTTCTGAAAAACAGAATGTAGTTTCGTCAGTTTGAAAGCAGAAAATTCCTCATTGTCTTAATTTAAATACGCCTAAGTACTGATGAAGTTGAATGCTACAACATGCTCCTTAGGCATTGGAATTTTACTTATATATATCTTTTGTTTTTCTGTTGGCCAATTCATATTTTTGGAAATGAAGTAATTATCCTAATTACTCTCTGTTTTAGAATGTTAACTTACTAAACTAACTGTGACTTCCTTTAAAGAGGATCATTTCTGATTTGTAATACCAGTCATTATCTCTTCACATAAAAAGTGATCAGTAAATGTTGGTTAAGTTGAGCACAGTGGAATATGCCTATAATCCTAATGGCCTGGGAGGCTGAGGCAGGAGATCAAAACTTCCAGTCTAGCCTGGACCTAATGAGATCCTGCCTGAAAATAAATTTTAAAAAGTGTTGTAGATGTAGTCCAGTTCCACTGTAGCATGTGTAATTTCCAGAGTTCCATTCCTAGTACCTGACGCCCTGCAAATGTTAATCACATCAGTGGAGTGATTCACTGAAACACCTGGTTCATCTTCTGTTTAACCCTTCACGTCTTTTCATGGTATTCATAACATACTTGTATTTTCAAAGATAATATCCTCAGATTTACTAAGATTTTCTTGTTAATTTCTTCATTAATATTATGAAAAAAGGTTCTCTTTCAAATTCAGAGCTGTGAATTGTGGGGTCCTCTGTGTTGCCTCCAAATCCAATTTCATCTTCTTTTATATGTAGAATAAAACAAACAAAAAATGTAGTTATATTTCTCAGCTTCCGTTGCACTTTCCTTGTCCAAGTGGTGGAAAACTGAGCACAGGTATGGAAGGGTTACCTATGAAAGTCTCCCAGGATTCATTTGTATTTTATGCCTTATTTTTTCTGCCCACCAGATGCAAATTGAGCTCTCCAGGACCCCCAAAATGATGTGAAATCAGGTGTAAAGAGTTTGGCCATAGAATAACTGTAATGACCCCCTACCAATTTGCCCGTTTACTTGTTATATGATCAAGAAATAAACTTTCACTATGCTAAACTACCAAGATTTCAGAAGTTGGAGTGATTACCTGTGTTATTTTAACTCATATGGACACACTATATGTTGATTCCCACAAAAGTTCATGAATACATACACTTTTGAAATATTCCTAATTTAACTCATTCAGATGTTTTTTATATATTACCTGAAGCAAGAATTCATCACTAACTTTTTATAAAAATTAATTTAATAAGTGGAACTATCATCATCTATCTTAGCTGGCAACCTAACACTGTGTACACAAAATCTGACTATTCCAATAACTTAAGAAAACCATGAAGAAAGCACAAACACAGAAGTAACTTTTCAAAATCTGGGGACAGCTCTGAGGTTCCATGGAACATTCTATCCCAAAAAGGGGAAAGGTGTAGGATTACAAAGAAACAGGTGAGTGTAACTCAACCACACCGGGTGACGCCTACTCCTGAAGCCACGCCTCATTATCCAAGCAGAAGTAAAGCCCAAGTTATTGTGGGGCACAATAATTGTTCAGAATCTCTTGCTCAGGACTTAAGGGTGTGTATTTCCAGGTGGCTCCCAACATGGAAGCAGTTGGTATTTTTAAAAGTGATTCATGATTGGCAGAGCCCTCATGAATAGGTTAATTCACTCATGGAGTAAGGGGTTTTGGGTTATCTGGACAGTGGTCTTTCATAAAGCCAATATGGCTTCCTGTCATCTGCACCCCTGTTGCCATGTGATGCCCAGAGAGGCCTCAGTACTCAGCAGAGTCTCTACCAGCAAGAAGGCCCTCACCAAATGCAGCTCTTTAACCGTGGACCTCACAGCCTACAGAATGGTGAGATGGATAATCCATTATCTTTATTCATTACCCAGTGTCATATTTCACAACGTTGCAACAGAGAGCAAACAGAGACCACACAGAATTATTGGAACTTGGGGGAATAATACTGTACAAATTGATGATTAAAAAAATGTAATCAGCTGACTTTTCCTCTAGAGTTGTACTTCTCCAGGGTCATTCTTAACAGAAAATTCTTAATTGCTCCATTGTTTTCAAAGGCAAACATTTAAAAGAACATTCTCTTGTAGACTACTTCCAGTTTCCCTTTTTGTTTGACCTTCACCTCTGATTTTGTAGTTTAGTGTTTTCTTTTCAACTCTGAATGTCTTTCTTTTTTGGAGGGGTAGGAAAGTACTGGGGATTAAACCCAGGGGCACTTAAACACTGAGCCACATCTTCAGCCCTTCTTATGATTTATTTTGGGACAAGGTCTCACTGAGTTGCTTAGGACCTAGATAAATTGCTGAAGCAGGATTTGAACTTGTGATCCATCTACCTTAGCCTCCCAAATCATTGGGATTATGGGTGCTTGCCACTGCTCTCAGCCAACTGTGGATTCTTAATGGCAGTATTTCTCATCAATCTCAGGTTGGTAAAAAATGCATTCATCAGATGAAGCTTGTTTCATAGATTTCATTTTATTCTTTGTAATGATACTTTTATGATTCCATATATCTTGTGCATGAAAGCGAGAAAAGGAAGATGAATTTTCAAAAGAGATCAGCTAGTTTATAAACGATAGATGAAGTTAATTTAATGACTATTCCTTGAATGTTTATTATATGTTAATTGTTAATATTAATTTTTATATTTATGAATCCACAAAAATGTGCATCATGATTATGACTATCATAATTCCTCAATATCATTATCATCATATTGAGGAACAGATAAACCTGATGCAAAGCTAAAGAAGAATAAAACATGCCCACGTTCATAACGTAACACTTGAATTATATAATCAATCAAGTCTGACAACAGAAACAGAAATATTTAACTGGAATACATAGATTTGCTTTATACATGACCTGATCAAAAAATCCACATTTATGGGCAATTTGGTTTGGAACAGAGTGATCAAAGAGGGGAGGTTATGAATACATTCGTGCCTTAGCTTGTGGGGGAATCCCATAAGTGTTTTTGAAGTCCTAAACCCTCTACTACTTTGCAAATCTCACATTCCCTGGGTCAGAGCTAACATCCAGATTTTCTGTGATTTTTCCTTTTGTTATCCATAACCTGGTTCATCATCATCCAGGTTTATGTTGAATCATCTTTGGTGCCACATAATTATATCAGACTCTCCAGATAATAATTCCTCTAGTGCTAATCTCTAAAAATTATACAAAATACAGAAACTCAGCTCCCAAAATGCAGCAATTATGATCTGTTGTATCAGACAGCATGTATGATTTGCTCATGTGCTTCTAATATCTCCTCAGGGATGAATCCAGAAATTTTAAAAACAGTTTGCACAACTTTGTACTAGATTTTGCAGCCTATACATAACTATATTCTAAGGTAGTTTTTTCTAAAATTGAGAACCTTTATGTATATTTAACTTTTATTAAATATTTATTCACTAGTTCATACCTTGCATTTTCTTTAATTTGCTGGACACAATGGGGTCATAGAGAGTCATTTTACTTCTTTTGGCTGGTATCTTTCCCCTCTATATGGGGCAAATTTTTGTTCTAGCTAGAGTTAGTGAAAAGTTGTGGATTATTATTGTAGGTAGGAGTCACTTATTTTCATGACAACTAGATTTGCTGCCAGTTTTCATGAATTCTGTCTTTCCTTGATAGTAGCTAAACAGTGATAATTTTGGATATGGTCCATCAGATTATGATAGAGCAATGTATAATCCTGCAATTTAAGAAAAGAACTTAGGGATAATTATTTACTCTAGACATGATATTTAACAACCAGAAAGTAGGACACCATCCAGATTCCAATTTCCAACACATCCATTGTTCTGCTGAGAAGCTTTGTCAGGTTCTTATTAAATAGATTTGCACTTTGTGTTTTATAGACTGTGAATGTTCACTGAAGTAAATGGAATCTCTCACCTCATATATATGTGTTAAATTAAAAAATAATATACATAAACCCGAATGCACGTAAATTATAAGTAAAATATGAAAAATGTAGCAGATTTCTTCCTTACAGGACTCCTCACAACTTAGTTCTACTAGGTAGCTTCTGTATTTCTTAAGATACTGGAGAGTACATATAGCTTAGCCAATACAATATTTTGTAAATATATAGATTTTTCCTCAATAATGTCTACTATGTTTATTCAAATTACTGTTGTTTCCATATGAATATAACTTGTAAAACATTTCTAGAAGACATTTACATTATACATTATGTCTTTGGGAATCAATTTCCAAATTATCCAATAACCCTTCCTAAAATGCTTCTGGATCCCCCCAAAACTGTCAATCATTCTTCCAATTGCTGCCAACATTATAAACCTGTAACAATATATTCTTGTCTTTTAAAGCACTTATTTACATTAACACATCTCTTTAATTTATTTCATTTTACAGGGATTTGTAGCTCATTGACAAAATGCTGAATTTCACCAATGTGACAGAATTTATTTTTTGGGGATTAACCAACCGCCAGGAATGGCAAGTTCTCTTCTTTTTTATTTTTCTCATGGTCTATATTATCACGGTGTTGGGTAATATTGGAATGATTATATTAATTAAGATCGTCCACAGCTTAGCAGCCCCATGTATTTTTTTCTCAGCCATTTATCATTTGTAGATGTGTGGTTTTCTTCCAACGTCACCCCTAAGATGTTAGAAAACCTGTTATCAAAGACAAAAACTATTTCTTATGCTGGTTGTCTAGTTCAGTGCTTTTTCTTTATTGCCCTGGTCCATGTAGAAATCTTTATTCTTGCTGTGATGGCCTTTGATAGATACATGGCGATTGGGAACCCTCTGCTGTATGGCAGCAAGATGTCAAGGGTCGTCTGTATCCGCCTGATTTCCTTCCCTTATGTATATGGTTTTCTGACCAGTCTGGCAGCAACTTTGTGGACATATGGCTTGTACTTCTGTGGGAAAATTGAGATCAACCACTTCTACTGTGCAGATCCTCCTCTCATCAAAATGGCCTGTGCTGGGACCTTCGTGAAAGAATACACAATGATCATACTTGCAGGCATCAACTTCACATACTCCCTGACTGTAGTGATCATCTCTTATCTATTTGTTCTCATTGCCATTCTAAGAATGCACTCAGCAGAAGGGAGGTGCAAGGCCTTCTCCACCTGTGGCTCCCATCTGACGGCTGTGGTCATATTTTATGGTACCCTGATCTTCATGTATCTCAGACGTCCCACAGAGGAGTCCGTGGAGCAAGGGAAGATGGTGGCCGTGTTCTACACCACAGTGATCCCCATGTTGAATCCTTTGATCTACAGTCTCAGGAACAAGGATGTTAAAGAAGCCATGAACAAACTGATTAACAAAGCATCTTTAATGAATTAGAATAATGTTGAGTTGATTTTGTTTCCCAGTATTACTAGATTTTGTTTTCTATTGTTTAGTTTCCTAGTACATTCACCCAAAGACTTTTTGTGGATAAAGAAGGAAAACAGAAAGCAATGAAAATTGTTAAAAACTTCAGTTGATTTACCTGTTCTTGATGATGAGCACATTCAATATTAGTTCAAAAGTAATAAAGTGACAAATTGAAAAGATCACTTATACAAAAGTTTATGTGTGCACTACTTAAAATTACCATCTAATTATAATTAACAGTATCTCATACACTTTGTTTTTCTTATTCAAATGAGCTCCTGATGAGTTTTGGAAATGTTCATTTTCCCTGTCAAAAACTAATTTATTTTGTATAACAATAGCATATTTAGGCCAGTTTTCTATTCAGGGCAATGCTCAATGACAGTTGGGAGATTATTGCATGTTTAATCTTCCTTAATTGTGGTTGATGGGTCTCTCAGAGACTTATGTTTTGAAAATCACAATATTATTGTACTTAATCATTTTTTTTTATGTTTTCCTTGTTTATTGGCATGTCTCTCTTCAAGGATTCCAGTAACCTTCATGTTGCAACCCTAACTTTGCAATGATCAGACAGAGCACATTGCCCATGTCTTGCCTTTGTCTTCAGTCTGACTGAAAAGTGGGGAGAATTAGTGGGTTAAGTGCGTTGTCAACACATGGTCATCAGAATCCACCAAATCAATTAAATGGACATTCCCATGTGATGTTTTTTTTTACATCTGTATCAAAGATATGTTATTCTCTTAAATTTATTCATCTGGAAGAAAGTTAGTAACAATGGTCTATTTGTTGGCAACAGTACATCCTATCAAACTAATATTAACAGAACTTGATATCCCTCTTATAACTCACTTCAGACAGACTTAATTAAACCTGGTAAATAATAAATGAAAATAACTTGCAATTATTATGAAGAAAATGCACCACTGAAGAAATGTAATTCACATATGTATACTGTCTTATTTTTAAATCTACATGTTCTTGAGATATTGTGAAGTCACAATTCCCTGACCAAGCAAGTTAATTTAATGGACTTTATATATAATAAATGAGAAGAAACTCAAGAGTATTGGGTACTTAAGCACTGAAGGATGAATAAGAAAAATTTGTCTTTGCACAATTTTGTCAATAATTTCCCAGACTGAATCAGGGCAATATATAGTTTAGAGTTGATCAATAATGTAGATTTTTAAAATTTTTTAATTTGTTAGTTATCTCAACTAGGCCTAAAAATAACCAGCCTAGTAGTTATTTTACATATGCATATTTTTTTAATTTTTATTGTTGGTTGTTCAAAACATTACATAGTTCATGATATATCATATTTCACACTTTGATTCAAGTGGGTTATGAACTCCCATTTTTACCCGTATACAGATTGCAGAATCACATCAGTTACACATCCATTGATTTACATATTGCCATACTAGTGTCTGTTGTATTCTGCTGCCTTTCCTATCCTCTACTATGCCCCCTCCTCTCCCCTCCCCTCCCCTCTTCTCTCTCTACCCCCTCTACTGTCATTCATTTGTCCCCCTTGTATTATTTTTCCCTTTCCCCTCACTTCCTCTTGTATGTAATTTTGTATAACCCAGAGGGTCTCCTTCCATTTCCATGCAATTTCCCTTCTCTCTCCCTTTCCCTCCCACCTCTCATCACTGTTTACTGTTAATCTTCTTCTCATGCTCTTCGTCCCTACTCTGTTCTTAGTTACTCTCCTATGCATATGCATATTTTTATGCTTAAAATTAAAGATAAAATAATCCACAGTCTCATTGAGGTGACAATATACTTTTTAATTCTATGAAAGTACAAATAATGTGAATTCTTAAGTGCTTCCCATGTAAGAGGTGGTGGGGTAAGAGCTCTCTTATAGTACCTGGGATCATCACAATCACACTGTAAAATAGTAGTTTCTAATTTCCAGATGTTTCTGGATTCCAAATCCATCTACTTCTTCACCTATGACCACTATAAACACTCTTTCTCCCAGCTCCTGCCATTATCTGCATTGTGACACCTAGAATGGCCCTGAGATGGAGCGGGCATGCATTGTTGATATCCCATTGATATCACTGGTTACCTGTGAGGAGTTCTGCTTCCTCACAAGTTGAACATTAGAGAAGCACACTGAGGCAAGCATATAAAGTAGGGTTTATTTAAAAAGGGGTAACATAAACGTCTCCAGGGAGGGAGAAGGGGGCCATAGATGGTATCCTGGTATCCTAAGAAGTGAGAAGGTCTGCCCTTTTAAAAATATGTCTTAGGCTTCCTTTGTTCTCTTGATCTCTTTCCTTTATATCTCTCCTTCCTGCATATGTCACTAGGCCCAGGAGATGCTCGGTGAGATGGCCAAAAGTTGAAAAGCAGATGGATAGGGGACAGGAAGGATGGAGCAGCCCAGGTCACATTAATTAACAACTTTATAACTCCCTGTAGGGGAGGGCAATTCCTCGGACAGGTTGGAGCAGGGGCAGGTTATCTTGATTGGGTCGAGGAAGGGCTCTGTAGGAATTAAGATTTCAATTCCTCCATTCCTCTGGATCTGACTCTTGCCTGCCTAATTCTGGCTTCAACAACTCCTCACTCCAGGTGAGAGGAAGAAAAGTAAATGCACAGCACTTCACATAATGCACACCCATATTACGGAGATCCATCACTGCTAATGCGTGAATGAAAAAAAAAAAACAGAACCTATGTGGTGGTGGGAGAAAAATTATGTCACTGTATCAAGTATTTTCATATCTCTATTTTAAGAATATTCTTCCCGTCAACACTCATTGACTTCTACCTCTGAGATGTTTCTAGAATTTTAGTCATTATTTCTTTAATAATTACATAGACAGTACCTTAGAGAGATATTCCCAATGCTTCTAATGCTCAAGATTATGTTATAAATACTGAGAAATTTCCATTTGCTGTTATCTTCGGCTGATGGTAGGTCTGTGGGTTTTATATGTTTTTTCAAACAGATTCATGCAGTCAAATCTTATAATTTTTTCCTGCTCTTTTTAAAAAGAAAACTATGTCTTTATTCATAGATTTACTTGGTATCAAATTATTTTACTAGACCATTGATTTTCTCATGCTTTTAAAATATAGATGAATGGATTTGGGAATACTGAGGCAGTGGGGGCCATGAATCCAGTAATTTAAACAACTTCATGAAAAACAAATTGCAGTTTATAAAATTTAAATTAGATTTCTTACATGTCAATAACAAAATCTACCTACTTGATTTTTGGATAAAGGACACATATCTACGTAATAAATTGTTTTATCACAGAAGTCGCTTGCAATCTGACCCCAATAAAAACCTGGAGGAATGGGGAGAAGCAGTGGTCTACTGTGTATATAGTATACCCTACTCTAAGGTCTCCTTTCTTAATTTATAACATGGACATGTTGATAGAACTTGTTTTAAAGGAAACTGCATGCAAATGTTTTAGTGAACCATCATGAAAGGTAGGCATTCTTTCAAATATTATCAACTTGGAAGAGTTGCATTTAGAAAATTCTTAGAGAATGTTATTATTATTATTATTGGAATAATTAATGTGTGAGCTGAAGTGCTCCTGTATGAATTATGAAGCTGGTATATAGATCAGGACACTTTTTAAAAAAAATTATGTGTGGCAGTTTCTGAATACTTAGTACATATAATTACTAAATACTAAATTGGGTAGTTTTAAGAGTTCCAAGGTTAATAAGAATAATCCCGCTATTACTCAGCTAGTGATTATGTGTAAAGAAAGAGAAATATATATACTTGGCAGGGATTAAAATTATAGTACTATTATCTCATATTTCTTGCAATGCCTTGATGCTATATTTAACATATTTCACATTTAAAAAAAAGAGTAGTAACATTCAGAAATAGGATCAAATCCAACTTTGATAATGAGAGAATATGGGAATTTAGTTAAGGTCATATTTTTTTACATAGAAAATCCCATGACTTCAGCTACATTTAAAACCAAATTCCACAACTACCTATTTTCACACTTATGAAGTTCCAAAATAAATGTGCTACTGTCATGAAAACACTCTACAGGGATACTTAAATTTAAAATTATAGGGCCTATTATGTTACTAATCCATTTTTCATATAGTGATAAAATCTGCATTGCATTTTATATTGTGTAGGTAGGATAAAGGTAAATGTAACTCAAGACATTTAAGAATAAAGAAGTATATTCACATTTTAATAAATTTCTCCATAGCAGCACAGACTGGGTCTCTGTTAAGGCAATGCCAAATTTCACCGATGTAACAGAGTTTATTCTCTTGGGGTTGACCAGACGTCGGGATCTCCAGGTACTCTTTTTTGTGGTGTTCCTTGTGGTTTACATGATCACTCTGCTAGGGAATATTGGCATGATCATTTTGATCAGCATCAGTCCACAGCTTCAGAGTCCTATGTACTTTTTCCTGAGTCACTTGTCTTTCGTGGATGTGTGGTTCTCCTCCAATGTTACCCCCAAGATGCTGGAAAACTTACTGTCAGAGAACAAGACTATTTCTTACGTGGGGTGTTTGGTGCAGTGCTATTTTTTCATTGCCCTCGTCCACGTGGAGGTCTACATCTTGGCAGTGATGGCTTTTGATCGCTACATGGCCATCTGCAACCCTTTACTGTATGGCAGTAAAATGTCCAGGATTGTGTGTGTTCGGCTCATCTCTGTGCCTTATGTCTATGGATTCTCTGTGAGTTTAATATGCACATTATGGACATATGGCTTATACTTCTGTGGAAATTTTGAAATCAACCACTTCTATTGTGCAGATCCTCCACTCATCAAGATTGCCTGTGGAGGAGTGCACATCAAAGAATTCACAATGATTATTATTGCTGGAATTAACTTCACGTATTCCCTGTCAGTGGTCCTCATCTCCTACACCCTCATTGTTGTCGCTGTGCTGCGTATGCACTCTGCTGATGGGAGGAAGAAGGCCTTTTCCACCTGTGGGTCCCATTTGACTGCTGTTTCCATGTTTTATGGTACCCTCATATTCATGTACCTCAGGCGGCCAACTGAGGAGTCTGTGGAACAGGGCAAAATGGTGGCTGCATTTTATACCACAGTGATTCCTATGCTGAATCCAATGATCTACAGTCTGAGGAACAAGGATGTGAAAGAGGCAGTCAACAAAGCAATTGCCAAGGTCAATTTGGGGCAGTAAAATTGCAATAGGTATTTAAATGTGATGTCAGTTCTGTGATGTATGATTAATCATAAAGTTTCTTGCTCAAAAACTACTATCTAATATAAACTCTTGCATACACTAAAAGATCCATTCCAACAAAGTCATGATTTACCTCATGCATACATTCTAATAATTAACCATGTTTTATTATCTATCTATCTATCTATGTACAACAATATTTTGAAATTGTCATAGGACCACTCACAGCAGATGTAAAATTATGCTCTTGTAGTTATTGGAGCTACTTATGACTTTAGAAAAATAAATGTTAATTTGGAAGAGTATTTTTGCAGTTGAACTTTATTTCTTAAGGCATTTTTGATATGCACTTCCTCATCTTAAATTTCATGTGAAATTCATGTCTCCAGCAGAAAAAGTAATAATTCATTTATTTCCCATTACTATAGAAATTTGATGGTGCTGATCTTCATACATAATGGATAGGTTTTTATCAGTGAAATTGTATTCAGAATTTTCAAATAATGTTTTATCATAGTCATAAGGTTTGGACTTAGTGTGTATCTTTGATAGTTAACTATTTGTGATTCCATGCAATATTTTCCACCTTAATTTCTTGGTTCAGACATTAATATGAATTTTAGATGTCAGCATGTAAAATATCTTGTACAAGAGAATTTTCACCATTCATCATAATCAAAAGACAAATGAGCCGGGCGCAGTGCACATGCCTGTAATCCTAGCAGCTTGGGTGGCTGAAACAGGAGAATCGTAAATTCAAAGCCAGTCTTAGCAACTAATAGGCAGTAAGCAACTCCGTGAGACCCTGTCTCTAAATAAAATACAAAATAGGTTGGGGATGTGGCTCAGTGGTTAAATACCCCTGAGTTCAATCCCTGGTACCAAAATAAATAAATAAAGCAAATTAATGTGGATTTTCTAATATTTAAAATCTAACTTTTAGCCATTGAAATTATTAAATTATGCTTTTGTTTGTTAATATTACTTGAAAGTATTTGCTTCCAGCTTTTTCTCGTTAATATTGTATTCTTTGAATCTCAATTAGCAACTCAAATCCAGTTGTCAGTAGATAGTTTTCCACCATTCAAGTGGCTGTGAATTCAAATGTACCACTTCAAAATGATGCCACATTTTGGCCTAGTTAAAAATTCTTAAAACTGCACTCTTTAATTTACTTATATTGGTGCATCCACTGTCTATTTATTTTACCGTCTGTTCCTGTTTTAGGTTATATATATATATATATATATATATATATATATATATACACACACACACACACATATATATATTTGTGTACTTTTGGTGATCCTTGCTGCTTACCAGTATTAGGTCAAATGTGAAGGAGAAATGTTTTCTGATGACTGAGTTTAACCTCAGGTAACTGCTGATACAATTAAAAGGGTGCACACTTTTGTATCTGCAGAAGGAATCTGAGAAGTAAGTAGCATAAATGTCAGTGATGCCTCTGGTGATGTGGCATAATTCAAGTGCAGAAAGTATTGTTATCTCTGCCAATTTGCTATGGGCCACTTCCCCAACAATTTAGAATGCATCTAATGAAAATCAGTACAGCTCTTTCAAAAATGTTGATTGTGAGAACAGGATGTAAAAGTAGAACTGATTTGTACAGAAATTATGTTTGCAATATTTCTGTTTTCAAATTATACAAATTTGATTTTAAAGAGTTGGGGTGAAGTAAAAAATTAGAGCTGCCCAAGTAACACTTATTTGTGCAGAGATTGCTTTCATAACAGGACATTTAAAAGCCCTACTTCTGGTGATTGTCATGATAGTGACATTCCTCAATCTTCACTATTTCACTTGTTCTTTTAGAAATGAAGAACTAGAAGTATAGCTACATCTGAGCCCCATGTTCTTTATTATTATTATTATTATTATTATTATTATTATTAGTCACTATAAATTTGTCACTGAGTTGTGAATAGAAATTTTATTTATAACATCTAAAAATTATCTTCTTAAGCCAGGTATGGTGGCACACATCTGTAATCCCAGTGACTTGGGAGGCTGAGGCAGGAGGATCAGGAGTTCAAAGCCAGCCTCAGCAAAAAGCGAGGCACTGAGCAACTCAGTGAGACCCTGTCTCTAAATAAAATACAAAATAGGGCTGGGGATGTGGCTTAGTGGTTGAGTGCCCCTGAGTTCAAGCCTTAGTACCAAAAATAAAATAAAATAAAACAATTACCTTATCAATGACAAAGCCAGTACACACGGCTCCTCTCCCTCAAACTGAAGTGGCCTAGACCAAGACTTCAAAACTTCATATTGAGGGTTATTAGATATATCATTACTTGTTATGAAGTGTAGAGATTGATTGTCCTTTATCAATTGTGCCTGATGACCTTATGAGAGAAGTTTGGATGCACACAGAGAGGAAACAGCCCTTCATGAAGGAGGCAGAGACTGGAATTATGCTGCTATATGCCAAGACATACCTGTGGTTAGCAGAAAAAAGGAGAAAAGTAAAGATTCTCCCCTACAGTCTTCAGAAGCAGCAAGGTCTTGTCAATATCTTGATTCTGAGTTTCTAGCTGCCAGACTTGCAAGGGAATATGTTTTTCATGTTAAACCAGTTAGTTTGTGGCACATTGTTATGGTAGATTTAGAAAAACAGTGCATTTCCTTTCTGCTTGGTTGCCAGGTTGCTACTGGTTTCTCTTGGGTTCCTGGCTACATCTCAGGAGGGTGAATCATCATCCATTCTACCCCGAGAAAGGCCTCAAACTTATCTAAACACTTTTTCCCTTGCTCGCTGGTTTTACAATAACTGTACCAAATCTAGGAAGCTCCTCAGTGAAAGAGGTACAGGAATCCTTTTTCAAAGAGTCAATAAACTTCAATTCTACTGACATTGCCAACGTTTAGTTCAGTTATTATTGCCTACCATTGTGAGTTTTTTTTTCCTCCCTACCAGTTCTTTTTTTTTAATCTATGAATTATTAGTTCTTTTAGCTATTTAGTGTCATAGATTGAAAACTAAAAAATAACCATGATCAAACATTTCCTTTTAGAGGGCTTGCCATTAGATATTAACAGTTAAGGATTTTAAGATAATTTCTCTACTATATATATATAGTTGTGTTTCCCTAAATATCAGTTAATGATATAAGCCATTATGTGGCATTCTGAATGCATTGCCTTAGAAGCAACTGAAATGCTGCAAAGCTTTAATGATGATTTTGGTCTTGTGTGAGGAAAATATTTTTAAAAACCACATTTTTTAAATATATAGTGGGATATAATATTGGTGCCTTCATATAGGGTCTAACATTTATATTTAACCATAAAATCTGCTGTGTGATAACTTGGAATGATTTAAGCTATTGTGATTTTCAAAGATTTCTGATTGAATTTTAACAGTCATTTTTTTGCAGTATTTATTCAAGTATAATACATGAGATGTTTTCCATAGTAAACAGTTTGGTGTTTTAAATGCTTCACTACTTACAGAACTTTTGCTAATTTCTATTTATTAATTTTTCTGATTTATCATGTTTGTGGTTATATGACATTTCATTTTCAGAGTTATCTAAAGTTGAAAGCTAATTTAAGAAAAACATGCTTAGCAGACAATATTACATGTGATATGTCAATATGGGGAAAAATTTGGAGTATGAAAATAAAGGTCATAAAACACAACATTGTTCTAAGCCACAAATCACACACCCAAACACCTATGCTTACACAAACTTATCATACATGTATATGTTTTGCATGTTATGTATATATTACATGTCAATACAATGTACCACATTTGACTCCTATATTATATACTGTAACTTTTAGAGGCTGTATCTGCTTATTAGGAATTTCTTCCCATAATTCTTATATATTATCCACCTCCCTTTCATTAATTTGAGTTTTTTTAGTTTCCACAATGTACATGACTATTACAGATTGAATTGAGACTTAAGATCCAATGTCTGTTATAAAATTCTCTGTTCTTATTTATCAGTTAAGTTTAATAATATATTCAAACAAATTTGGAAAGAACTCTGATGATATATAATGCAATTCCAATCAATAAAATATTCACAAAGGTTCTTTTTAACATACAATTGATGGGATATTTTATGAAAGTTAAGAGAAAAGAATACAATGAACTTCATACTAAAAGAGTACTTGGGCCCTTCACATTGAAGGAGCCATACTCTTTTCTATCTCTGAGTTCACATGGATTCTTCTTATCTGAGTTATTTATTTTTCTTTCTCTGCAGACTACCTTTCTGTTTCTCATAGCACAAGGAATTCTCAGCTCTAGAATTCACTTAAGCAAAATAAGTGATCAGCTTAAATTCACTAAAATTATGGAATTTGAATTCCAAGGTCCAAAGAAGAATAACATCTGATTGGCTTATCCTTAGTCATGTGATCACTCCAGTATATTTTCATAAAAGGATAAGGCCACTAGTACAATGGTGCATGTCATATTCCTACCCTATGGATCAGGGGGATTCTCAGTGAGCAGGGGTTCACTATGAGCTAGAAAAGAGTTCATATTACATTTTTTCTCACTCATTTATTCACTCTTCTACCATCATTTATGCAAGATTATATTATACACTAAGAGTGAAAAATTGTAGAAGTTAATGCATTCTTCCCAGTGAATTAATCAGATTAAAACCATTAACTGTCTTCAAACCAATGTTGTCATTGACAGACTAGTAAGGCAAAGGTGATATTTACAATAGAGTCTAGTGGGCTTCTCAAAACTTCAAGGCTGATAATTTCTCTCTTTTTAAAATAAGGCTTAGGAAATGTAATTTGCACGTTGGTACCACCTTCTCCCACACGTGCCCCAATCATCCTTCAGTTTCCCAGCTCATGGGACTCTGGAAGTCACTTTGGGGCTGCAGTAGCTCAGCCTTCTGCTGGCATTCTTGCATACTAACTGCTTCGGTACACTTCTTGGGTATGTTCACTCTCTAAGGGCTTCACCACTTCATTCAGAACTTCAAAATTTTGTAACTTAT